GCCTCCGTGTCAGCAGCATGGGCTTGTCGTGAGACGGTACCGGTGGCCACGGCCGGCGAGCCCTGACTGCTTTCGTCCTGGTTTGCCGGGACAGTGGAAGCCGCTGACATCTTTGCCTGTTTCTGTCTCTCTGCAACGATCGCCATAGCTTGTTGCAACTAGACGTTATGGGGGAAGGAAAAAGAAAATGTCCTATAATCGGTAAAAAAGGGTTGGATTTAAATGCAAATCTCAAACTACAATTTACGACGTTCTATGTTCAGACAACAGTTAACAACAGGAAGTGGGTGAGTGAGTGAGTTTGTTGAAGTTTGTCTCCATTAGAGGGGCTAACAGATGGGTCGTGGCTGTTCTCTAAGCAGGTTTCACAATTACGGGCGGTACGACGCAGTTGTCGATCTCTCGAGCCAAAGGATGGCAGTAACAGTGGAAAAAATCACCAACTAGAGGGCAGTTGTTAATCTACTATGGCCATGATAAACAAGAAGTTGGCGTGAACCATGCGAGGAAGGATTTTAGGGTTGATGAGCACAGTCTGGCGTGTTTTTGAAAAGAAAACTGTGATTGTTTCTGGAGTTTTGTGCTAGAAAAAAAGCAAGGTCAATTGAAGAAAATGAAGCCAAACAAGGGCGCCTGGAAAAGCAGAACCTAATGACCCCTAGATTCACAAGAAATGTTTTCTAGAGTAGGGGGCAAGGGAGAAACTGGGTTGTATCTTGCACTCTTTCGTCATTTAGTGGATCCAACAGGACTCTCTGACCTGTCGCGTGCGATAATCTGGCAGACTGGGGTCCAATGTCAATCATTTTCTGGATCCAAAAGTAATTTAAAAAAAAACTGAACTTTTTGTCTGAGATACGGCCACACAGTTCTACGAGTTTTAACCTCTTGGACTACGCGACACGTCTGTCAGTTCAATTAAGACTGTTTATCCTGACTAAACGGTCAACACCGAACAATTTACACCGGCTTTATTATCGGTAAAAAAAAACTACTGGAATGAAGAGAAAAAAGGGGCTCAATCTAAGAAATCAAAAGTGTACTTGAACACTACAAGAACTACGTTGTTCGTTGTAACAAAATTTCATCAAAAGGCCATATTACTTCTGAATTCTGCGCTCCGACGGGTCTTGGGGTCTTCTCCAAAAAGAAAAATTCCTTGATGTATTTTATAAAGATTGAATTTTATGGAAGTCGAAAGCTCGCTCAACGCACCTCCTCGGGTGAAGCAGCCGCCTGAATGGACTGGAAATGTGCCAAGACCTTTTGGGCCTTCTCGCGAACTTCAGCCGACAATTTGTAACGCCGACACTGAATGGGAAGATAACGTTGTTAGATAGAGAGGGGGGGACAATGATAAGATAGCTCGAGAAAAGGGCCGGGTCTCGTAAAACGCCAGTTTCTCGACACTGTCTGCTCGTCTTAAAATGCTTTCGAGATGTAGCTTACCAATCACAAGCACTTAAAATCGAAGCATCTTTACGTAACAGTGTTAAATGACTACTGACTTTACCAATAAGGACAGGCCATCTGAGGAAATTCGGTCTAAGGGCGCGAACACAGAAAACGTATCCGAAACTCATCTAAGGATGATCACCCGTGTGTCACAAGCGAAGACGACAGTGCCGAGGAAGCAGCGATGGCCTGTGTGCGAGCTGGGTTTACAGAGAAACAGACGTGCACAACTACTACCTCATTTTCTTGTCCAGCACCCATCTACAATGACTGCGAACGCGATCGGCGGCGAGAGGGACTTCGCGTTCACGCCTGCTACATGCGCACGGCTCTGCAGGGCAACGCGAACCCTTCTTTAATGAGGGGCTTTGTTTAACACAGAAAGGGGGTTCGCTAAGTCCACATTAGGAGATTGCGGCTCGACCCTAAACGGCGAGAAAGAGGTCGAGAGTTCAAGACACATTGGGTTGTTTAGTGAGGAAAGCTGAAGTTCCATAGACCACACTACTACTTCTTCTTCTTGTCAGTAGCATTCTCAGGTCAAACTGGCTGAAGATAAAGAGGTAGTGCGGGTTGACAGGACATAAAGCCTCAGAACGCTTATTATTACCCATGTTGGCAAATCCCGTCACACTACTGTTAATGAATGAGAGGGTGACGCTTTGGTCATTCATTTCGTGCATACGCTGAAGAGACGAACGGGCAACGCCTACAGGCAATGAAGGCAAACATAACAGGCATTACCGGGGAGTCTTCCTCTACCTCTCCAACGGTGCTGCTATATATTCGCAGGTATTGCATCCGGCTACCTCTCCAACGGTGCTGCTATATATTCGCAGGTATTGCATCCGGCTACTTTCTGACATTCAGATACAGTCACTGTGGGGAGTCTAACACTGTCTGGCTGTGGCTGTAACAAGATAGGGCCGTCAAAAACTTATTTCGTCGAAAGTTGCTTCTCAGGGAACCATTGGCAGCCTCCGGAAAAGCAAAAAAATAGTGGGCAAGTCCCCAGATCACCCAAACACGCTCGTTGTGTTTTGACTTTTTCGGCAGTTTACTGCAATTTCTGAACTCAACGGTGGAGGTCCCGATTGGCCAAAAGGATCCAGCTGAGGGTTCGTAGACTGCATCGAGTAATAGACTATTGGAGTCACTATGGCTGGGGGACTTTTGATAGCAGGGGTTGTTGTTGTTGCAGGATCAATTGCAAGGTAAGTGGCT